AGCGAGCGTTTTTGACGCATCACCGACTAGTCATCCATAACGGACAGCGTTTTGACGCATCACCGACTAGTCATCCATAACGGACAGCGTTTTGACGCATCACCGACTAGTCATCCATAACGGACAGCGACGACGGATAGTTCATCATAACAATATGATCTGGCTTCTGGATATGTCCTGGTTGGCACTTAACACCCTGCTTTTTGAATTGTAACTGAAATCAAGTATATTATTTACGTAACACCCCAACTAACTACACATTTCACCATGAGGGAGCCATTATAGATATACATATAGATATACATATAGATATACATGTCCATTTGTGTATTTTTTTTAAAAAGAGACCTGAACGAAAATAAATATTTTAAAAAATAACAAAGAAAGAAAATGACAATTAAGTAAATCTAAACAAGGCAACCTTTCTCACACCCTCCCTCCTCCATTGAACTGGGATGCTCTTACAAACGAGAATAGCTGTCCTTCTTTGGGTTATTGAGAGGATCGGAATTCAATAACACTTAAAAAAGTTGGCTTCATGAGGCTCGTGGTTTCTCAAAAAAAAAAAAAAGTGGCTTCAAGGAGAGAGAGAATACTTCCATTGAAATACACAGAGAGCGTTTGTCAGATGTCTGGAGCAGATCTTCAGAGACAGACGGAGAAGAAAGCGAGGGCGGGAGAGCAGCAGGGACGGGCTCACACGTCCACCACCATCTTTTTGTGTATGTCAAGACCACCCACCACCTAGGAGAAGAGAGGAGGGTCAGAACCATACAGTTAGAATTATTATTCTAGTTCTAATTCCAATTCCAATTCCAATTCCAATTCCAATTCCAATTCCAATTCCAATTCCAATTCCAATTCCAATTCCAATTCCAATTCCAATTCCAATTCTAATTCTAATTCTAATTCCAATTCTAATTCCAAAAGCAGGTTGGAACAGATCGATTCTTAATGCTATTGGCTACATTTGTGGACTTCTAAATCATGCAACATGGTTCTACCTAAGAAAGGCAACTCACTACTAGCATAACTACTGTATCCTGTTAACCCCTTAATACTAGTATAACTACAGTATCCTGTTAACCCCTTAATACTAGCATAACTACTGTATCCTGTTAACCCCTTAATACTAGTATAACTACTGTATCCTGTTAACCCCTTAATACTAGCATAACTACTGTATCCTGTTAACCCCTTAATACTAGTATAACTACAGTATCCTGTTAACCCCTTAATACTAGCATAACTACTGTATCCTGTTAACCCCTTAATACTAGTATAACTACTGTATCCTGTTAACCCCTTAATACTAGCATAACTACAGTATCCCGTTAACCCCTTAATACTAGTATAATTACTGTATCCTGTTAACCCCTTAATACTAGTATAACTACTGTATCCTGTTAACCCCTTAATACTAGTATAACTACTGTATCCTGTTAACCCCTTAATACTAGTATAACTACAGTATCCTGTTAACCCCTTAATACTAGCATAACTACTGTATCCTGTTAACCCCTTAATACTAGTATAACTACTGTATCCTGTTAACCCCTTAATACTAGTATAACTACAGTATCCTGTTAACCCCTTAATACTAGTATAACTACTGTATCCTGTTAACCCCTTAATACTAGTATAACTATTGTATCCTGTTAACCCCTTAATACTAGCATAACTACTGTATCCTGTTAACCCCTTAATACTAGCATAACTACTGTATCCTGTTAACCCCTTAATACTAGTATAACTACTGTATCCTGTTAACCCCTTAATACTAGTATAACTACTGTATCCTGTTAACCCCTTAATACTAGTATAATACTGTATCCTGTTAAACCCCTTAAATACTAGTTTATAACTACTGTATCCTGTTAACCCCTTAATACTAGCATAACTACTGTATCCTGTTAACCCCTTAATACTAGCATAACTATTGTATCCTGTTAACCCCTTAATACTAGTATAACTACTGTATCCTGTTAACCCCTTAATACTAGTATAACTACTGTATCCTGTTAACCCCTTGTCTTATCTGTAATCCTGTCCTGAACTCTCAGCTATTTTAATGAATGAGTCTCTTCAATTGAAGTCACACAAACCATCCACAACAACCAGCTCAAACCAATTTTATAACCATGGTCCAACCAGCTCAAACCAAAAATAATACTCACACGAGAACAGAGCATTTTAGCGTATGGCTTTAGAGAAACGTGCCAAATATAATAATAACAATATGCCATTTTAGCAGACGCTTTTATCCAAAGCGACTTACAGTCATGTGCGCATACATTTTTACGTATGGGTGGTCCCGGGGATGGAACCCACTACCCTGGCGGTACAAGCGCCGTGCTCTACCAGCTGAGCTACAGAGGACCAGTAATATATGGTTCATTCAGGAGAGTGAAACAGAAAACAGAACCCTCAGATAGAAACTGCTAGAATCATGCTCTATACACAGCATGTATAATGTTACACTTCACTGAATAAGCCCCTAGTGTGTTAGAGCTGGCCAGGAGAAGCCAGCAAATCAAATACACGTTTATTGGTCACCTACACAGATTTGCAGATGTTATCACAGGTGCAGCGAAATGCTTATGTTTCTAGCTCCAACAGTCGGAGTAATACCTAGCTAATACATAAATATACAATAACAATACACACATAATCCCCAAAAGTTTAAAAAATATTAGAACGAGCAATATCAGTGTTTGGAACATAAATATATATAAATAGTATTTATAGTCTCCCGAGTGGCGCAGTGGTCTAAGGCACTGCATCGCAGTGATCCTGGTTCGAATCCAGGCTCTGTCGTAACCGGCCGCGACCGGGAGACCCATGGGGCGGCGCACAATTGGCCAAGCGTTGTCCAGGGTAGGGCAGGGAATGGCTGGCAGGGATGTAGCTCAGTTGGTAGAGCATGGCGTTTGCAACGCCAGGGTTGTGGGTTCGATTCCCACGGGGGGCCAGTATGAAAAAATAATGTATGCACTCACTTAACTGTAAGTGGCTCTGGATAAGAGCGTCTGCTAAATGACGTAAATGTAAATGTAGACTGTATATGAATAGAAAAGGTGTGTACAGCAGTAGTTTATGAGCCTTGACAGTATATACAGTGAGCTCCATAATTCATTGGACAGTGACAATTTTTTTGTTATTTTGGTTCTGTACTCTAGCACTTTGAGTTTGAAAGGATACAATGACAATGAGGGTGAAGTGCAGACTGTCAGCTTTAATTTGAGGGTATTTTCATATATATCAGATGAACTGTTTAGAAATGATAGCACCTTTTATACATGGTCCCCCCATTTTAAGGTACTACAAGTATTTGTTAAATTGGCTTCACAGATGTGTGTTGTTAGGCAGGTGTATTCATTTGTGTCGTTAGTGAATGCAGAAGAGCTGTTGATGAATAGTATTGATTCTAGACTTTGCTATTGCCTTTGGAGGTTGTTGTTGGGGTGTGACAACATGAGGAAGACAGCAGTGTCGATGCAAATGAAGCTGGCCGTCATAAGGCTCAGAAATGAAAATCAATCAATCAGGAACATTGCAAAAACCCTGGCCATGCCCAAGTCAACAGTTTGGTTCATCATTAACAAGAAAAAAACAACCGGTGAACTCAATTATGTCAAAAGACCCGGTAGACCGAGGAAGACCACTGTAGTGGATGACCGGAGAATACTCTCTATGGTGAAGAAAACCCCCCTGACAACAGCCCAACAGATCAAAAACACTCTCCTGGATGCAGGTGTAGATGTGTCAAAGTCTACCATACGTAGAAGACTACACCAGCAGGACTACAGAGGGTACACTACAAGATGCAAACCACTGATAAGCCTGAAGAACAGAAAGGCGAGATTACAGTTTGCTAAAAAGCACCTAAAAGAGCCCCAAGAGTTCTGGAAAAAAGTATTGTGGACAGATGAGACAAAGATTAACATGTACCAGAGTGATGGAAAGAGGAAAGTGTGGAGAAAAAAAAGAAATGCCCATGATCCAAAGCATACCACCTCATCCGTGAAACATGGTGGAGGGGGTGTTATGGCTTGGGCCTGTATGGCTGCCAGTGGAACAGGCTCACTTGTCTTCATCGATGATGTGACTGCAGACAGAAGTAGAACAATGAATTCTGAAGTCTATAGAAATATTTTATCTGCTCAGATAAAACCAAATGCCTCCAAACTCATTGGACGGCACTTAATCACGCAACAAGACAATGACCCTAAACATACTGCTAGAGCAACAAAGGGGTTTTTGATGGCCAAAAAGTGGAAAATCCTTGACTGGCCGAGTCAATCACCGGATCTGAATCCAATTGAACATGCATTTTACATGCTGAAGAGGAGACTGAAGGCAATAAGTCCCCAAAATAAGCAGGAACTGAAGATGGCTGCAGTACAGGCCTGGCAGAGCATCACCAGGGAAGATACCCAGCGTCTGGTGATGTCAATGCATCGCAGACTTCAAGCAGTCATTGCATGCAAAGGATATGCGACCAAATATTAACAATGATTACTTTATTCTACATTATGTTAAACTGTCCAATGTTTTTTGATGCCCGAAAAAGGGGGGGACCATGTACAAAAGCTTCTATAATTTCTAAACGGTTCATCCGATATGTATGAATATACCCTCAAATTAAAGCTAACAGTCTGCACTTCACCCTCATTGTCATTGTATCCTTTCAAACTCAAAGTGCTAGAGTACAGAACCAAAATAACAAAAAAATTGTCACTGTCCAATGAATTATGGAGCTCACTGTACATATGAAGTGGGTAAAACAGTATGTAAACATGATTGAAGTGACCAGTGTTCAATGCCTATATATACATTGGGGCAGCAATCTCTAAGGAGTAACCACTCCAGCCCTCCAGAACTATAGTTACCCGCCAATAGGGTTGCACAATTCTGGAAAATGTTCTCAAGCTCCTTCCCTGCTTCTTCCTTTCAGATACCGAGAACCCTTCCCCCGGCCACCAGGACCTCAGACTTACTAAGCAGAACTCTTCGAAGGATATCCTGCCATCTCCGTCCTTGTCTGCGTTGATGATGGTCTTGTCCACGATCTGCTGGAGCTGAGTGTCCTTGAGGTTGTTCCCAACCATCATCTTCAGCACCTGGAAGAGCTCCCCGTTGGAGATGTAGCCATCCTTGTCCATGTCGTAGATCCGGAAGGCGACTGGAGGGGAGGAGAGAGAGGGGTGGAGGAGGGAGAGAGGGGTGAAGGAGGGAGAGAGGGGTGGAGAGAGGGGTGGAGGACGGAGAGAGGGGTGGAGGACGGAGAGAGGGGTGGAGTGGGAGGATGCAGGAATGTGTGTGTAAATAAAAAAGACTTTAGGTTTTGGAGAAAGCCTCATCATTGATGCCATCAGGCATTCTGTTTCTACTTTGGGGACTGGAGGAGGATGGAAGCATGAACATGTGGAAATAAACAATAAACAACCACAGAGCTTTGGTTTTGTAGTACAGATCGAAGTGGAGATGGATTTGCAGTAGATTTGTCTACTTACACCGAAGCTTTGACTCCTTGTCCCCCTTGACACTGAACTGTGAGACTCCCTCAATGAATTCTGATAGGGGGAGAGATGGAGAGATGGTTTAGAGTTAGACTTTATTTGACTGCCTGTATGTAGCCTGTGCAATACTTTTTAAATTCACGATGGCAGTGGTCAAATGTAAATGCACTACTTATGCATTCATAAGTTTAATCAAAAATCTCACTTTGTAAACACAACAGCAGACTACTGCAATTGATACTTAGGGCTAAATTCAATCTGATCGCCCCTTTTAGACCACATTCACAGCAAACGCTGCATATGTCAGCTCAATCAGAAATTATCTTTAAACGTCAATCACGCAGATTTATCCGCGGACCGGATTGAATCTAGGCCTAAGGTGATCTAGTTGTGACTGTCCTGTGTTAAATGTTCCTATTGTCTGTGCAGGACAGGTACTGTTAGGCAGAGCAGACAGACTGCCAGGCCTAAGTTCCAACCTTGTGTTAATCATGCAATGTAATGAATGTTGTGTGAAACTCCTGTTCTAGGCCACCCCGGGCCGTTCTCAGAGGAGGACAACAGATCCATTTACCAACACCAGCGTCACATGTCTTGATACTATATATATATATTTTTTTTTTGTTTTGTCATTTAGCAGACGCTCTTATCCAGAGCGACGTACAGGAGCAATTAGGGTTAAGTGCCTTGCTCAAGGGCACCGACAGATGTTTCACCTAGTCGGCTCGAGGATTAGAACCAGCGACCTTTCGGTCACTGGCACAACGCTCTTAACCACTAAGCTACCTGCCGCCCTGATTTCAGCAAGTAAAGCTTAAATCCAAAGACATTGTTAGGCCCAAACCATTTCTTCACCAGTAAAACATAAACATTGCATTATAAATTGTTGTGGGTTTAGATAAATGTATCAAATAAATATAAAAATATCATTATGTGTGCATAGCCTATGTTCAATTAACAGAACAACAGAACACCATATATACAATAGAGGGAGGTATGAACATAAATGAATCGCTCTATATATGATTCATTTAACTTAAAGCCTACAGGTATGATGCATTATGATGCCATCATTTTAATGCATTGTAAGACTTGTCATGAGCATGTATGATCCCTGATTATTTAATGTAATAATTAAGATCACTTTAATCATCAATTGTACACAAGGTCCAACTGAACTTTCACTTCTGCTTCATCCCAACCCCTCTGAAAGACAGATATGCATACAGTGGATTCGGAAAGTATTCAGACCCCTTCCCTTTTTCCACATTTTGTTACATTACAACCTTATTCTAAAATTGATAAAATTATTTTTCCCACACAATACCCCATAATGACAAAGCAAAAACAGGTCTTTAGACATTTTTGCAAATGTATTACAAATAAAAGCAGAGATACCTTGTTTACATAAGTATTCAGACCTTTTGCTATGAGACTCGAAATTGAGCTCAGGTGCATCCTGTTTCCATTGATCATCCTTGAGATGTTTCTACAACTTGATTGGAGTCCACCTGTGGTACATTCAATTGATTGGACATGATTTGGAAAGGCACACACCTGTCTATGTAAGGTCCCACAGTTGACAGTGCATGTCAGAGCAAAAACCAAGCCATGAGGTCGAAGGAATTGTCCGTAGAGCTCCGAGACAGGATTGTGTCGAGGCACAGATCTGGGGAAACGTACCATAAAATCGCTGCAGCATTGAAGGTCCCCAAGAACACAGTGGCCTCCATCATTCTTAAATGGGAAGAAGTTTTGAATCACCAAGACTCTTCCTAGAGCTGGCCGCCTGGCCAAACTGAGCAATCGGGGGAGAAGGGCCTTGGTCAGGGAGGTGACCAAAAACCTGATGGTCACTCTGACAGAGCTCCTGAGTTCCTCTGTGGAGATGGGAGAACCTTCCAGAAGGACAACCATCTCTGCAGCACTCCACCAATCAGGCCTTTATGGTAGGGTGGTCAGACGGAAGCCACTCCTCAGTAAAAGGCACAGCCCGCTTGGAGTTTGCCAAAAGGCACCTAAAGGACTCTCAGACCATGAGAAAAAAGATTCCCTGGTCTGATGAAACCAAGATTGAACTCTTTGGCCTGAATGCCAAGCGTCATGTCTGGAGGAAACCTGGCACCATCCCTACGGTGAAGCATGGTGGTGGCAGAATCATGCTGTGGGGATGTTTTTCAGCGGCAGGGACTGAGAGACTAGTCAGGATCGAGGGAAAGATGAACAGAGCAAAGTACAGAGAGATCCTTGATGAAAACCTGCTCCAGAGCTCTCAGGACCTCAGACTCAGGAGAAGGTTCACCTTCCAACAGGACGACGACCCTAAGCACACAGCCAAGGCAGGAGTGGCTTCGGGACACGTCTCTGAATGTCCTTGAGTGGTCCAGCCAGAGCCCGGACTTGAATCCAAGCTTGTAGCGTCATACCCAAAAAGACTTGAGGCTGTAATCGCTGCCAAAGGTGCTTCAACAACGTGCTGAGTAAAGGGTCTGAATACTTATGTAAATGTTATATTTCAGTGTATTTTTTTTTATACATTTGCAAAAATGTATAAAAACCAGTTTTTGCTTTGTCATTATGGGGTATTGTGTGTAGATTGATGAGGGGAAAAAAACACAATTGAATCCATTTCAGAATAAGGCTGTAACGTAACAAAATGTGGAAAAAGTCAAGAGGACTGAATACTTTCCGAATGCACTGTATATACAGGTTGGAGATGTTGGAACGGGGGACTGCCACACTGGGCGCCGTGGAGCAGTTGTTATGGGTGGTTAAGTGCCTTGCTCAAGGGCACAATGGCAGTCAACGACATCTACGATTTGATACCAGCAACCCTACGGTTGGCAGCTCATTTCCCGCCAGATTTTCCCAGTCAGACCCGGGATTCGAACTAGCTCACCTCTCTAACCACCCTATTATATATAACATATAAAATAATATTCAGCCATTTTAGCATTTAAAGTGGAGAGCACTCTGACTTTAGCCCGGGCGCCCAGTCTGTTCCATATGGAATAGTCTAAACCACAAACGGATCTGGGACAAGGCTACTCTGGTTCTGGCTTACCCTTGAAGTCCACCTCTCCATTTCCATCGGTGTCGAAGATGTCGATGACCCTCTGGACCAGCGGGTTCTGCTGGAGTTCAGGCAGGGACATGAACTCCTCCACGCTGAGAGACCCAGAGTTATCTAGGTCCAGTTTCTTAAACCTCTTTCCCAGACGCTTAATCTCATCAGCATCGACTGGAGGGGACAAAGAGAGACAGAGAGAGAGAGAGAGAGAGAGACAGAGAGAGATAGACACAGAGAGAGAGAGAGAGAGATAATAAACCAGGGACCAGTTAGGTGAACAGTCCACATTGGGAGCAGAGAGGTTCCATTACAGTCTGGTCATTTAACTGGCAGATGCTCTAATTACATTTACATCATTTAGCAGACGCTCTTATCCAGAGCGACTTACAGTTAGTGAGTGCATACATTCTTTTATTTTTTAATACTGGCCCCCTGTGGGAATCAAACCCACAACCCTGGCGTTGCAAACGCCATGCTCTACCAACTGAGCTACATCCCTGCCGGCCATTCCCTCCCCTACCCTGGACGACGCTGGGCCAATTGTGCGCCGCCCCATGGGTCTCCCAGTCGCGGCCGGCTACGACAGAGCCTGGATTCAAACCAGGATCTCTAGTGGCACAGCTAGCACTGCGATGCAGTGCCTTAGACCACTGCGCCACTCGGGAGGTAATCCAGAGGGATTTACAGTCAGTGCATTCAACGAAGGTAGACAAGAGCAAGACAATCACATCTCTCAGTCATTGCAAGTAGAAATGTCCTCAATAAACCAGCAATCTGTAAACAGTATTAACACATGCATGGGTAGATCTATGCTGGTAGGGACCCAGCAAACCCCTGTACCCACACACACATAACACGGTCTAATAGTGGTACGTAGATTATTACCGTCTTCCTCTCCACCTACACAGACCTGATTACAGTGGCATGGAGTTCTGGTTAAAGTCAGACAACGTGTTAGAGGCCATCAGTATGAGCAAGCGGATACAGAGCTGTGGTCCTCTGTAGCTCAGTTGGCAGAGCATGGTGCTTGCAACGCCAGGATAGTGTGTTCAATTCCTGCTGGAACCACCGACACGAAAATGTATGCGCGAATGACTGCAAGTCACTTTGGATAAAAAGCGTCTGCTAAGTGGCTTATATTATGTAAGTTCGATTTGTAACCTCAATCCCCAGCTTGAAATGTCTCCACTCATGGTATAGAATCACTACCTCTCCTATAGTGTCATTGGCTAAGATGTTGTCAAGCAGGCGGTCACGTGTGTTAATGAGAGAGAGAGAGAGAGGATCCATGGTTCAGAGACGTTACTGTTAAGCAAGCCCAGTGTTGCCTGTTCACACAAGATAAAGCGTAGAATTGCTCATCTTGATCATATAATTTATTTACATTGAACGTCCAGAAGCCCTTACTGAAATGCAGTGCACCTGTAGAATCGTCTCATTGATATACGCTAATGATGTCATGGTTGGAGGGGTCTTCTTCCTTAGAGATGATTATTGATCATCTCATACAGCTGGCTACCACAGCAGAACGAGACCACTGGATGCACCCTCTAGTGTTACTAGGCAACAGGAACCTGCTGCTAGCCCCACATACCAGACACACACAAGCTTCTGGCTTTTCATTCTTTCCTGTGTTTGTCCTGTTCTTTCGGTTGTTGAACAGACCCTTTGTCTTTGTGTTTCTCTTGTTGGGTTTGTTCATCACCCTCCATATCCTGAGTTGGTGTGGGTTTATTTATTTTAGTTTGTCTGATATCAGGCAGGTGGTGTTTAAATGTCTGAAAGGCCAGTCCAGTGGGGGTTTAAACATGGGTTCTGAAAGGCGAGTCCAGTTGGTGTCTCAGTATTCAGCACTAGCTCCAGGTCCAGTGGGTTTCTCAGTATTCACCACTAGCTCCAGGTCCAGTGGGTGTCTCAGTATTCCCCACTAGCTCCAGGTCCAGTGGGTGTCTCAGTATTCACCACTAGCTCCAGGTCCAGTGGGTGTCTCAGTATTCACCACTAGCTCCAGATCCAGTGGGTGTCTCAGTATTCACCACTAGCTCCAGATCCAGTGGGTGTCTCAGTATTCACCACTAGCTCCAGATCCAGTGGGTGTTTCAGTATTCACCACTAGCTCCAGGTCCAGTGGGTGTCTCAGTATTCACCACTAGCTCCAGGTCCAGTTGGTGTCTCAGCATTCACCACTAGCTCCAGGTCCAGTGGGTGTCTCAGTATTCAGCACTAGCTCCAGATCCAGTGGGTGTCTCAGTATTCACCACTAGCTCCAGGTCCAGTGGGTCTCAGTATTCAGCACTAGCTCCAGATCCAGTGGGTGTCTCAGTATTCAGCACTAGCTCCAGATCCAGTGGGTGTCTCAGTATTCACCACTAGCTCCAGATCCAGTGGGTCTCTCAGTATTCACCACTAGCTCCAGGTCCAGTGGGCCAGTATTCACCACTAGCTCCAGGTCCAGTGGGCCAGTATTCACCACTAGCTCCAGGTCCAGTGGGTCAGTATTCACCACTAGCTCCAGGTCCAGTGGGCCAGTATTCACCACTAGCTCCAGGTCCAGTGGGCCAGTATTCACCACTAGCTCCAGGTCCAGTGCGTGTCCATGGTGGGGATTTTTTCAGAACCCATGTAAAAAAATAAAAAACATGTTTTGTTTTGGTCTGTCAGTGGTTTATTTGTTAGTTCCCTTTTTTTAACGATTTCTGGTTTCTTATTGGGGAACTTAACAGTGTGTGTGTGTGTACTTTTAAATGGGTAAACAAAATGATGTCTCACTGCACAGCCTTGTAATTATGCTGCCAGGCTAACATATGACACCAACCCCTATTAGCATAATGGCTTTTTTATTGAGCCAATTAGGTGTGCGTGTGTGTGTGGAGGGATTCTAGTGCAACAGATTTAAGGATAGTGGATCGATAGTGGATCGATAGTGGATAGCACAGCATACTGTGGTTGTGGTATTCATAGTTTGGGTCTTTTTTTTTGGGGGGGGGGGAAGATTATTAGGAAAATTAAATGTTATTGTGTAAATGTATTTATTAGTTCTAATTTTGAGAGATGAAAATGTAATTCATTATAAGGTCATGTCATTAGTTTTTGGGGTGGGGTGGGGTCGTGAGAAATTCTGGTGAAACAAATTGGGTCCCTGCTGAAAAAGTTTGAATACCACTGCTGTGGGCTTTATACTGTATAGCTCGCTAAAGGGATTATGTTGTGCAGCAAACTCTACATCAAATCTACATGTGAGGATTTCACCGTTCATACAGTACTGCTAGTAATGTCTCCAAATGCATACATTGGACTGTAAGCTACATCATTTTGTAGAACAGTCTGATTACAATAGTTAAAGGCTCATACCTCGAAGGATAGAACTTGTTATAGGTGTGGGTGGCTTGTCCGCCTTTATAAAGCTTTGTAATGGAACCACAGGTACAGACACCGAGGCAGAGAGACCGCTCCGACCTCTGACCTCTGATCCTGTAGATAGCGCTCTGTAACATTGTGTTACTCAGGGGTTTCCTTTAACATTAAAAAAAGAGTACTCTCTCCTTCTATCTCTCACTATATCTCTCTCTCTCCATATCGCCCTCCCCCTCTCCCCCCCCTCTCTCTCTTTCTCTCTCTCTCTCCCGCTGTCTCTCTCGCTCTCGGTCTACATCTCTCTCTCTCTCAAACTCTCTGTCTACATCTCTCTCTCTCCCACTCTCCTTCACCCTCATCTAGGCCAGTGTGTGGAGGGGTCAGAGGTGAATCAGGCCTCTGTGCATTAATGGGATCTGTTATCTGGCCAGTCAGGATGACACTGAAGGCATCCGGTTAATGCATGCTGCCGTGTGTGTGTGTGTGTGTGTGTCGCAGGCTGAGAGATGGAGACATTGTTCAGTATTTATTGCAGTGAGGTCAAGAGAAAACCCCTCCCCTCGACAACCGTTGCTCTGGCTCTGGGAAAGCCCTAGCAACAAGGAACTCCAACAAGCAGGCCATGGTTATTTTTGGAGGCTCAAACAGGCAGAGACAGTTTCAGGCACTGACTGCTTGGCTGCTGCTAGTGCTGTGTGTGGGTGGGTGATTCTCATGAAACCAGTTTTAAACATGTCTGTAGCAAATTGAGTTCCAAAACCATGATGCAACTATCATTCTGAAGACTAAGATGTCTAGTTTTTGGCAAAGTTTCTCATTTTAAATTCATTGTAGATTTTCGCCTGAATTTTGTAAATTTCCACCCCAAATTCTCATTACCGAAATGCGTCCGGATTAAATTCTTGGGTCATTTTATATAATTTTAATTGAGAAAAACCTAACTTATTTGAATAAAACACAAAATATGTTGCTGTAGTTTGTCCATAAATCATACAAATTGTAGACTAGTTGAAGTTTACATTAAATTATAATATTTATTAAGTAAATACACCTTTCAAGTTAGTGTAAAGACTCCAATCAGTTTTTAAATAAAGTTTTATTCACCCATGATGCATCATCTAATTTATTTAATTATATGCCTTCAGAATGAGGTTCTCCAACATTCACTTTACCCCTTCTCATCACCGGAACGGCTAAAAAGTTCAAACTGGGAAAAAGTCAGAGGACCATTACCTTCCAGACATGGAGGCATGAATGGGCTTTAGTGATGTGATCAATTGTTTGCTGACTCATAACGGCTGTCTCCTATTGAGCTAAGGGCCTCATATTTCTAAAACACACCGTTTTAGGTTGTAGTTCTGCGTTTGGCCGGGCGTGATTCCCAATCAGAGGCAGCTGTCGCTCGTTGTCTCTGATTGGGGATCATACTTAGGCAGCCTGTTTGCACTCGTTAGTTGTGGGATCTTGTTCCGTGTTAGAGGCGTGTTTTGTGTTTAGCCTGAGGACTTCACGGTTCGTTGGTTTGTTAGTGTGTTTATCGGTGAAATACGCATTTCACGCTGCGCCTTGGTCTGACCCGTCCTTAAACGAACGTGACATATTTCTAAAACACACATTTCTCATTACCACATCATCTTTAGGTCCGTTTCAGTAAAAGGAACCTTAATTTCGGTACTGATAATAAGCTAATTATATTGTATAGTCCATGGGTGTGAGGTGCTGGTAACTTTA